GAGGTGCCTGTGAGGCTTCCCAGGGTCAGGGGCAGTGGGCAGAGGAGGGTCAGGGTAGGTCCAGGCTGGAAATGGACCCTGGGAGGTGGCCAGCATGTGGGGGAGGCCTGCGGGGGGCACACAAGTGTGGCCAGAAGTCACCCTGGACAGGAATGGGGTCTCCTCAGCGGGCTGCGTGCAGTTCTGCTCCTGGCGAGCTACTGCTCGTGCCTCCCACGGCCGGCCGGGCCGGACGCCTCCTCGCGCGAGCCCGCCGCCGGCAGACGTGGAAGGGACCGGAGCGCTTGCGCTTTGGGAGTCTGAGGAAGGGGAATTCGAGTGTGAACCTGGGGTTTCCAGCAGCTGAAGCCACTTGGGGAGGCGCCTTTCTTCCCAGGGTTTTCTTCCTTTTTAAAGAAGATCTAAAGTCATCTCCACACCCACCGTGAGGCTCGAACCCGCAAGCCGGAGGTCCAGCGGCACGTTTCCCGACAGACTGGGCGCCCCTCCCGTCTCCGCTCCTCTGGCTGTCGTCTCCGCACAGGTGGTCACGCCGCAGACTCGCCTGCGCGGCTGGCGTGGGGCGCGGAGGGCGGCCGAGGGGGCTCTGCTGGTTTCTCTCCCTCGTGTGCTCCCTGCCGCGGGCCGCCGTCCCGTCGGGCACGAGCGCAGAGACTGGCGTTGGCCACTCTCGCTCCGGACTCCTGACCCCTGACCCCGGGCCCCTGCTGCCCTCAGAGGGGTTTTCTTGGAAAGCGTCTCCCTCGGGCCTGTGTCCTGTCTTCCTGGGCGGGGTCCGTCTGCTCCGGGTCACATGCTGGCCCCACGTGGCCCGCTCCCGTGCCGCTAGGAAATCATTCAGGCTTTACCCCTCTTCAGAATGTTCTGTTTATGAGTGAGGGTCACAGCAGTGAGCCAAGGGTACCCCTGCACCCCTAGTAACCCCAGACCTTTCACAGACCCATAGAAGGTTTCTCCGGGTCCACCACCTTCTACGGACGCCGATCCTGCGTCGCAGCAGCAGAGAGGCCTGGGAGGCGGCGGCTCCCAGGGGGTCTAGGACAGGCTGGTGCGGGGCTGCACTGTGTGCCCCCAGGACTCCGCGCAGGCTCAAGCCCGTCTGGGACCCACTGTGGCCGGCCGGGGGGGTGTGGTGGGGGCGAGGAGGCAGGACGCTGTGACTTCTCCTTCCCTGGCCCAGAGCGGTTTCTCATTTCTTCAGCTCAAGTTCATAAGCTCAACCTGACATAACAGGCTGTCAGAGCGACGAACGGTCGTGTGGGGTGGGGGGGCCCTGCAGAAGAACACGGCTTTACACTAGGCCCTCTAAGTAATTATGTAATTCAGGGACTGAGTGGAAAATAGGTTACATAACAAGAATTGGAGACTTTTATTTTTAGTTAAAAAAATTAAAGATTTGAAGGGTGCCTGGGCGGCTCAGTGGGTTAGACCCTGTCTTTGGCTCAGGTCATGATCTCGGGGTCCTAGGATCGAGCCCCGCATCAGGCTCTCTGCTCACGGGGGCCTCCCCCCCCCAACTTGCCTCTCTGCCTACTTGTGATTTCTCTCTGTCAAATAAATAAAATCTGTAAAAATAAAAAAATTGAGAGAGCGAGCGAGCAAATCGGGGGAGGGGTGCAGACTCCCCCGGAGCGTGAAGACCAGGGCGGGACTCAATCTCACGTCCCAGAGATCACAACCTGAGCCGAAACCATGAATCGGACGCCTCACCGACGGAGCCAGCCAGGCACCCTAAGACACGGAGGCTGACGTTCTCCCGGAGCGGCAGATGGCCTGGAGGACCCGTCACCCAGGACGCCCAAGGCGCAGCGCACGCGCTGGCCCACGGAACCTGCCTGTGCTCGGATCAGCCCGCCCGCACGCATTCTCCAGCCCAGACCCCGCGTGAGCCACGAAACCGGTCACGTGAGTTTTAACAGAGCAAAGGGAGTGTGTCGGCTTGCTTGAGCGGAATGAGTTCCCAGCGGCAGCGTGAGGTCCAGCCGCCCCCGCCTCCGGACAGGACAGCACGCGGTCGGAGCCGTGGCCGTGGCGCGCGCTCCAGCACACGCGAGAGCCGCAGCCACAGAGACGACCAGCGCGGCCCCTGCGTGAGGACCTGCCCGTGCGTGAAGCAGGACAGAGAAAGTGGACGTGGAAAGCACACCGACGTGTGCGGGACACGCATCTGCACAGCAGGAGGAGAGGCTCCTAGTTAAGAAACTAGAGAAGAGGGGCGCCTGGGTGGCTCAGAGGGTTAAAGCCTCTGCCTTCGGCTCAGGTCATGATCCCAGAGTCCTGGGATCGAGCCCCACACCGGGCTCTCTGCTCAGTGGGGAGCCTGCTTCCTCCTCTCTCTCTCTCTCTCTCTGCCTACTTGTGATCTCTGTCAAATAAATAAAATCTTAAAAAAAAAAAAAAAGAAATTAGAGAAGAGAGCAAACAAAACACAACGGAAGCAGAAGAAAAAGGAAGATCAGCAAAATAGAAAAAAATCCCCAAAGTTAGTTCTCTGAAAAGATCAAGAGGCTGGCAAACCCGCCGTCACACCGGCTGACACAGGACACACACGTCAGCAGAATCCTGCAGCAGGGGACGGCGCCACCCTGCTCCCCGCACAGGAACAAGCACCTGCGAGCCGGGGCTCGAGGCCAGAAGTCAGACCCCAGCTGCTCTGGGCCGCCGAGCTGCTTCCTCCTGGAGGCCCCGGAGAGCCTCTCCCCAGCCCGGGTCCTCCTGCCAGAGGTGCCCTCGTTCCTTGGCTCCCAACGTCCTTCCCGTAGACGCCAACACCAGCAGCTGTAGGTGAAGCCCCCCTCCCCCGGCCTCCCGCCTGCCCCTGGAGCCGCCCTGCCACTGTTGAGGACCTTTGTAATGACACTGGGTCTGCCTGGAAAACCCACAGTAGTCCCGCTGTCTAGGCCTGCGCCCCTTTCTGCTGTGTGTCTGGACACGGTTGTGACTATAGGGGTCAGGACGGCCGCCCCCCGCCCCACAAGAGCATTTTGCTGTCACAGCTTCCGAAATCACGGTGACCCGCGGGATGCTCACCTCTAAAACCAGGAGCGAGGTGCGGCCGGTCTCGGCGTGGTGCTGGCCGCGCCGTGGGGCACCAGGAAGCCGCGGAAACGGCTGCAGGCCGGGAAGGAAAAAGGAGAAACGTCCTTACTCACCGATGAGCCGACCCCCCAAGGAGCTAATCCTAGAGACCCAGAGACACCTACAAACCCAGCGCTGGCGAGTTCATTCAGCCAGGTCCTGGGACACCAGATTAGGAAAAACAAAGTCCACTCCATTTCCACGTGCTGGGAACAGCTGCTCACGGAATGAAGAGGGTCCCGTCCACGGCGGCACCAAACTCAAGATCCTCCGGAAGTACCGCATGGAAAACAGCTCAAGATTCGTGAAGATCCAAGTCAACGGGAAGGCGCCCCACACCCCTCCACTGAAGATCGCCGTCATCTGGTGTGAGGCACGTGGAGAGCCTGAGCCAGAGAAAAGCCAAACCAGCGGGGCAGCTTGTCAAAACCAACCTCTGCACTCTAGGAGGCGGTTCGCCGTTTTTTTTTTTTTTTTTTTTGAAGTAGGCCCTATAGCCAGTGCGGAGGCCAAGGCCGGGCTTGAACTCCCAACCCAGAGATGGAGACCCGAGGTGGCATCGAAAGTCTGACGCTGCACTGAGCCACCCACGTGCCTCATTTTTTAAAAAACGGCCGAGCCACAGACTGGGAAAAATGCTCCCAAGTATCATATCTCATAATCCACTCGGAACTCAGGAGACAAGGGAAAAGCCGGCCCGCCTTGGAGAGCGCGTCCCCGGGAAGGCGGTGCTGAGCGCAGGGCCGCCAGGCGAGGACGGATGCGCAGGGCGCGCTCACACTGCGGAGTGTGCTGGGGGACGCAGGCAGCCGGCTCAGCCCCTGCGGCTCTGCAGCTCGGGGGGGTTGGGGGCTTGAGCCCCATGCTGGGTGCAGGGGTGACTTAAGGTCTCGTAACTGTCACACCTAAACACGCGTGAGCCAGCAGCTCCCCCAGAAGAATGTGCCCAAGAGGCTGGAAACCCACATCCGCACCGAGAGCCGTAGCTGAAGGCTCATGACAAGGTCTGGCAGCCCTGGACAGAGGCGCCCCTACGGCGGTGAGCTCCGCGGGTGGGAGGAGCTAGTGGTGGCCCCTCCCTGTCACCCACGCCTGGGGCCACAGCACTGCACGTGCTCGCAGAAAGCCCGCTCGCCGGCCACGGGCAGACACACCAGCGGGCAGGCCCCGCCGCGCAGACTGGGCCGCCGCAGGGGTGGACTGTCGGGGCGGGCGTCGCACTCCGCAGCACCTCTCGGGAGCTCTCAGCCCAGACAGCAAAACGGAGGCAGACCAAGGAGGGAAACGGATCTAAAAGTAGCGGCCGGCCGGGAAACCGACACGCCTCACGGGCGATGGGAACAGAAACGCACAGAGCGACCCCAGGTCAGAGCTAGAGCGGGGGATGACGTGGGGCGTGCGGGGTCCGTCCCGCACAGACCTCGGCGCAGCCCGCCTCTCGCGGGCTCTGGTTGCGGCCCAGACGCGGGCAAGCCGCTCGCTCCGTCTAGAAGAGCGCACGTGGGGCCCCGGCCTCGGAGCCAAGCCGCTCTGGGAGGAGCCGTCTCCGTGAGGGACCAAGACGTCCACCTCGAGGCTGGTGGGCACAGCCCCCGGCGTGCCCCACGGCGCTTCGAGAGCGTCACATTAAAGTCCACGTGCCAGAGTGGCCCAGAAACCCCCACATTCTGAGGACTCCTGCTCGGCGCCGAGTGCCTCGGGAAACGGCGACCCAACGAACTCTGGCCAAAAATGACAGAGCGCAGCCAGGTGAGCCCCAGGACGGAAGGACACACTGCGCACCCCCCCCCCAGGAAGGACGTGCATCCAGACGGACTCTCTTTAAGAACACAGATCGGACTGAGCCATCACCAGAAATCGGCAAGAGACATACACGAGCCTCAGGGGCTGCGGTCCCACTGGTGTCTGAGAAGCACGAACGAAAGCCAGCAGCCACTCACCTTCGGGGCTTGGGAACAGATCAGATGGCGCCGGGCTGGGCAGGGCACCCCTGGGCGCCAGGAGGTGGGGACCCGCTAACCTCAGGAAGTCCAGCCTCACCTGCCAAGAAGACACGCACCTGGGTCCCAGCAAGTCCACGGAGGACCCACAGGCCCGCGGCACAGCAGGCGGGTGAGCGAGGATGTGGGGACGGCTGTGTGTCCGAGCTGCCTGAGTCCCGTGTCACACGGGAGCCAGGCCCAGGGCTCGTGGGGGACCCCCATCCACACGATGATCAGAAGCACACGAAACCAGACGCCTCGGGGAGAGCCCCGGTGGCCAGCTCCCTGAGTGGCCAGGACAGGGAGGGACCCGGGGGCGGAGTGCGGGTGTTGCTATGGGGGCAGCCACGCGGGCCCAGCCGGGTTTACAGAAAGAGCCCTGTCCCTCCGCACACCCTCCCTCCCGGCCCTGGCCCTGCGCAGGGCTGGAGGGAACGTGCTGAGTCGGCACCTGGGGCTGCGGTAACGCGTGTTTACCTGGTCAATTTCTGGGCGTGCACGTTCTCTGGCGGATCTATAATTTCTCAGAACAGAGGCTGAGAACCGACCTGGAAATCAATCAAAGCTCAATAAAGGGAGAGATAAAGCCGTCCCCACGCCCGGCACCGGGAGCTGTGGGCCAGGCAGGGGTGAGGCAGGAGTGGGGGAATGGAGAAGGGTGCAGCGGGTCCCCCTGGCCCTCTCTGCGGGGCTGCGGACCTGCCCCCTGGCCAGGAGGTACACTGGAGAGTCTCCCGAGGCTCCCTGGGCCCTGCCCCTCCTCTCGAGGGGAGCCTGGCTGCGCCCTCATCTGTCGGCCTCTGCCAAGGACCCCTCCCCTGGCTGTGCCCGCTGTGCCCAGGTTGGGTGGACAAGGGGGCACAGGGCTCCCCCTGCTCGAGCAGCAAGGGGACGTGCTGGCTGTCAACTTTCTTCCTGGCCTGACCTGGGACTGACCTCAGACCAGGCTCTGGGCAGCCATCCTGCGCAGAGCGGGCTGGTCAGGGCCCCACGGGAGCTCTGGAGGACAGCCTGGGTCCCAAAGCAGGTGGAGGCTGGTCCTGCAGCCACAAGACCCGGCGCCCAAGGCCAGGCCTCCCTCCACTCTTCCAGAGAGGGCAGTGCTAGGGAAAGCAAACACAAGGGGGCCGGGGACCCTGCCCTGGGTTCCTAGAAGAGGATGGGGGGAGGAAGGGTGACCAGACACCAGCTGACCCTGAGGTCCCAGAAGCCGAGGCTGGGCAGGGCCCCAGGGAGGCCTGATGAGGACCCCACCCAGGCTGTTAGGAAATGGGCAAGGGGAAGGAGGGGGGTGGTCAGCGTGCCAGGCCCATCTCCCACTTAACTCCCACGTGGCCGTCCGCTGAGTGGGAGGTCCCCACAGCTGCCTGAGGGGCCCCTGCCCAGGGGCAGAGGGCCAGCCAAACCTGAAGGTGGCTTTGGTGTGAAGGCAACCCCCCCAGCCTCTCCCCTATGCCATCCGTGTCCTGGGCATTTGGGGCTGACGCTGGGTGCCGGGCTCGAGAGGGTTAATGGCATTGGGCCAGCAGGGCTGGGCTGGGCTGGCCACAGGGCGCTGGCGGCCCCGGCAGTGGGGAAATCAGAGGACAGGAGCAGCCGGCCCCAGCAGACGCACCAGCCTGTGGCCCGCCTGTGGTCTGTTCTGCACGCGGGATGGCCCTGACTGGAGGTGAGGAGCGCCTAGGGCCCCAGCCCCTCGCTCTGGGGGTAGCCAACCCCGTGCCTCCGAGGCCCGGGGCAGCCCTGCGAGGGCCCAGCTTGGGGTGAGCTGACAACGCCGGTGCCGCCGCAGGGGCGCCTCGGGATGCGCCCTCGGACACCCTCTACCCACCTCCTGTCTGCTTCCGGGGCCAGTCCCCTCAGGCCCCCCCGGGGACCCCTGCCTGGGCTGGACTGCTGCCCCCGCAGCCCCTCAAAGGCCCGGCACGGCCTATGCAGGTGGGTGTGGGGCACCTCTCGCACTGCCTCTGGCCCCGCCTGGACAGCCCGCACCCTGAGGGCAGGGATGGGCCCCGACTCGGTGGGCAGCCCAGTGCGTGACGCAGGTTTTGGGGTGTCGATGGGGTGGGACTCAAGTGCCCTCTGTCCCGAGACACCCCGACCCCTGATGAGTTGGGGGTGCCGAGTCCCCATCTGCCCTGAGGCAGGCGTCGTGCTCCTCTCCCGGCACGAGTGCTGAGACATTCCTGGAGCCAAGGCACAGGCTCCTGGGAGCACGTGGGGGGGTGACCCCCGCCCCGGAGCCTCACTGCGGCGGTGCCCGCCTGCCCACCGGCCGCTCTCAAGGGCAGGAGAACATACCCCACTCGGGCCTCCCATCGGCCCACCTGCCAGCATGGCCCCACTCGAGTGTCCACACTGGGACGCACACGGCCACATAGCCGAACGGCCAGGCACCCCTACCCGCAGTTCTCTCCAGAATGGGCGTCGCTACCCCAGCGGGCCTGCAGGGTGGAAAGGACCGTCAGTTCCGAACCGGACCGCGTCCCGGTTGTCCTAACTGGGGCTCTACTTGCAAATGAGGCCGGGAGAGCGCAGCTCTGAGCTGCCACCTCTGTCCGGGCTGCCAGCACCATGGCCTCTCTCGGTCACATGCTGTGGTCCGGGCGCTGAGTTCCACGCCGCAGCGTGTGGGCAGGCGGCGGCCCTCGCCCCGGGGCTCAAGTCCTCTGGCCCCTCTCCCTGCAGGAGGCCCGGTCCTGGCCGTGCTGCTGGTCTCGTGGGCGGCGCTGGGCCCCTGCAGCCCCGAGGGAGCGGAGAACGGGGCGCTGGGGGCCGCCGAGAGCCCGCAGTGCCCGGCCGTGTGCACCTGCGGCCACGATGACTACACGGACCAGCTCAGCGTCTTCTGCAGCTCCCGTAACCTCACGCGGCTGCCGGACGGCATCCCCCATGGCGCCAGGGCCCTCTGGCTGGACGGCAACAACCTGTCCTCCATCCCCGCGGCCGCCTTCCGGAACCTCTCCAGCCTGGCCTTCCTCAACCTGCAGGGCAGCGGGCTGGCGAGCCTGGAGCCGGAGGCGCTGCTCGGCCTACAGCGGCTGCGGCACCTGCACCTGGAGCGGAACCAGCTGCGCGGCCTGGCGGCCCGCACCTTCCTGCACACGCCGGGCCTGGCCTCGCTCGGCCTCGGCAACAACCTGCTCGGCCGGCTGGACGAGGGCCTCTTCCAGGGCCTGGCCGGCCTCTGGGACCTCAACCTCGGCCGGAACAGCCTGGCCGTGCTGCCCGACGCCGCCTTCCACGGCCTGGCCGGCCTGCGCGAGCTGGTGCTGGCGGGCAACAGGCTGACCTACCTGCAGCCCCCGCTCTTCCGCGGCCTAGCCGAGCTGCGCGAGCTGGACCTGAGCAGGAACGCCCTCCGCAGCGTCAAGGCCGACGTCTTTGTCAAGCTGCCCCGGCTGCAGAAGCTCTACCTGGAGCGCAACCTCATCGCCGCCGTGGCCCCCGGCGCCTTCCTGGGCATGAAGGCGCTGCGCTGGCTGGACCTGTCGCACAACCGCGTCAGCGGCCTCCTGGAGGACACCTTCCCCGGCCTGCTGGGCCTGCACGTCCTGCGCCTGTCGCACAACGCGCTGGCCGGCCTGCGGCCGCGCGTCTTCAAGGACCTGCACTTCCTGGAGGAGCTGCAGCTCGGCCACAACCGCCTGCGGCAGCTGCCGGACAGGGCCTTCGAGGGCCTGGGCCAGCTCGAGGTGCTGACGCTCAATGACAACCAGATCCGCGAGATCGAGGCGGGCGCCTTCGCGGGCCTCCGCAGCCTGGCGGTCATGAACCTGTCCGGGAACTGCCTGCGGACGCTGCCGCCGCAGCTCTTCCTCGGCCTGGACCGGCTGCACAGTCTGCACCTGGAGCGCGGCTGCCTGGGCCGCCTGCGGCCGCACGCCTTCGCCGGCCTCTCGGGGCTGCGCCGCCTCTTCCTCAAGCACAACGGCATCGCGGCCGTGGACGAGCAGGGCCTGGGCGGGCTCGCGGAGCTGCAGGAGCTGGACCTCACGGCCAACCGGCTCACGCACCTGCCGGGCCAGGCGCTCCAGGGCCTCGGCAAGCTGGAGTACCTGCTGCTCTCGGGCAACCGGCTGGCGGCGCTGGCGGCCGACGCCCTGCGGCCCCTGCGCCGCGTCTTCTGGCTGGACGTGTCGCACAACCGCCTGGAGGCCCTGCCCGAGGCCGACCTGCCCCAGCTGCGCCACCTGAGCCTCAGGAACAACTCCCTGCGGACCTTCACGCCGCATGCCCCCGGCCTGGAGCGCCTGTGGCTCGAGGGCAACCCCTGGGACTGCGGCTGCCCGCTCCGGGCCCTGAGGACCCTGGCCCTGCAGCAGCCCAGCGTCGTGCCGCGCTTCGTGCAGGTGGCGCCAGAGGGCGACGACGGCCAGCCGCCCGCCTACGCCTCCAACAACATCACCTGCGCCAGCCCCCCGGGCGTCTCGGGCCTCGACCTGCGCGACGTCGACGAGGCCCACTTTGCTCACTGCTGACGGAGGCCCGGCCTGCCCTGATGCTGCCCTGGGGTCACTGCGGCGGCCCCCTCTGCCGCTGTGGGCACCACTGCCATACAGGCCCCGGCCCCCACAGCTGTCCCGCATCAAAAGCCATCTGACAGGGCGCCTGGGTGGCTCAGTGGGTTGGGCCTCTGCCTTCGGCTCAGGTCATGGTCTCAGGGCCCTGGGATCGAGCCCCGCATCGGGCTCTCTGCTCAGCGGGGAGCCTGCTGCCTCCTCTCTCTGCCTGCCTCTCTGCCTGCTTGTGATCTCTGTCAAATAAATAAAATCTTAGGGACGCCTGGGTGGCTCAGTTGGTTAAGCAGCTGCCTTCGGCTCGGGTCATGATCCCAGCGTCCTGGGATCGAGTCCCCACATCAGGCTCCTTGCTCTGCAGGGAGCCTGCTTCTCCCTCTGCCTCTGCCTGCCATTCTGTCTGCCTGTGCTCGCGCTCTCTCTCTCTCTCTCTCTCATAAATAAATAAAATCTTAAAAAAAAAATAAAATCTTAAAAAAAATAAAATAAAAGCCACCTGACACACGTGTGTGACCACAGGAGTATAGCTCTGGGGATGGGGGGAGGAAAGCTTGGGCCCCTGCCCCCGCCTGACGGCCCTCCTGGGACACCAGCCTGTGCCAGAGGGGCGGCAGCTCCTCCTCCTGTGGTCAGAGCCCCGGCACCCCAGCTGTCCTCTGGCCACATTCTCAGAGGCCCTGGTCCTGGGAAGCCAGGCCAAGCCGGGAGGTCACTGCTCGTGCCCAGCGTGAACGTGGGTTCTCGCTGCCCAACCCCGGCCGACACGCCCCCCGCCCCCAGGAGCCCTTCCCCTGCCCTCTAGTTCCACGCCAGGAAACGTCTGTCCACGGCGCACCTGAACCCCCATCATCACCGCGCCCCCCCCCCCCCCCCGGGGGGTCGCCCTGTCCCTTCTGCCGACGTTTCAACCTCTTCCCTTGGGGAGGGCGCCATGCCGTGCCCTGTCCCACTGCACTGCCTGGCCTCCCTGGGGCGCTGCATGTCACTCCCGGCTCTGCCCCGGCCCTGTGGCATGGAGAGTGTGCAGGGCGACTGGGGACGGGCTGTCTGCTGCGCCAGGCTGAGCCTCCCCTGACGGCATGGATTTCTCTGCCATCACCAAGCTGTCCACACACTGACCCCAAGCTTGATCCAGGCGTCTGCAGGGGCCCACGGGCTGGGCATCAAGAGGGCCGAGCCGGCTGCCGTGGAGCGCACCAGCATGCTACGGCTCCCGCAGCCCCAGCGCACGATGCTCCGGAAGCAGCAGACCCGTCACTGCGGCAGTGTGACACTTTTAATCGTGGGTTCCTCTGAAGTTAAGTCTAACGCTTTGCAAGACGCTCCCCGCTGTCCCGGCATCGCTCACGATGGCACCGAGGATGGCGGGAGGCGCTGAGGACAGCAGATGCCCCTAGGATTTCTCCAGACGTGTAGGTGTTGTGACCCACGTGGAGCCTTGGCTGCGAACAGCCCAGCCATGGGTCTGGGGGTGCACGTGCCATCACCTGAGAGTTCAGCCACCAGGACCCCACACCTTCTCCCGGGCCCTGCCACCCGCCTGCCGGACAGAACCACCCACTGTCGGCCGCTCTACCGCCCAGAGGCCCTGGAAACCCGAGATGCGGGGAGGGGGCGCAGAAAGAGGCCCGCACGGCCACGGCTTCTGCTTGGGTCTGAGCGTGCGCGGCCAGAGACGCGAGAGGGGGCTGCCTTGGTCAGGAGAGCCGAGCAGGCGCCTCGCTCAGAACCTTCTGGGCTATGGAGGAGAGCGCGGGGAAGGCGGGACTCTGAGGGAAGTCCCTGATGAAGTCTCGACCTTCCTCCAGGCTCCTGGTGAGCTCAGGGTCCAGAGGCACAGAGCCTGCGAAGGGGGAGGGCAGGGGACAGGCTGTGAGGGTGGCAGAGGGCCAGGGGCCAGCTCCCCAGCCCCAACCCACCGGGGCTCCCGCGGGCTCCCGCTCGTGTCCACCAGCCGCGGGGAGCTCAGACCCTTGGGGAGCTCAGACCCCCGGAGCAGAGTCCAAGCGGCGGCCCTGCCGTGCTCACCCAGGAAGGGGACTCCGGCGAGTCTGGCCAGCTCCGCCCCGCCTCCCTGGGAGAAGACGTTTGTGCACTCCTGGAACGCAGATGTGCGGCCCCCCTTAAGGAACTTCTCACACTCGAGGGACAGGTCCAGGGGTGTTCTCGCCACCCAGGGCACACCTGACCACCCCTGGGCCCCGCAAGGGCTGGTGACCACTCGAGTCCCCACGACTTACTGTGCAGTGGGGACAGACGAAACCACTCATGTTCTCCACGACCCCGACCACCTGCAGCCCTGTCTTCCTACAGAAGGTCAGCTCCCGCCTCACGTCCCCCACAGACACCGCCTGCGACCAGGCAACAGAGGACAGCGGTCACCAAGCGTGTCAAGAGCCGGGAATAGTGCCAGGTCCCTGGTGAGGTCGCGGACGGCGCTCGCGTGGTACCTGTGGCGTGGTGACCACGAGGGCCCCCAGCGGGCCATAGGGGCGCAGCGCCTCCACAGCGGCCATGTGCTCATCAGAGGTCCCCGGGGGCGTGTCCACAACCAGGTAATCCAGCTGTCCCCAGGCCACGTCAGACACGAACTGCTTTATCAGCGCTGCAGAGACCCGGGGATCTGAGAGCCCCTCGCCTACAGCCTCTGCAGGTCCCGGGTCTGTCCCAACGGCCGCAGAGCAAGCCACTCCTTACGGAGGGTGGCACGCGCACCACGCGGGCCCCACAAGCACCTCTCTCTTCCCGGATGTGGGGCCACCCCTGCCACCCAAGACTTCTGCTCAGGCCTGAGCCAGGAGCTGTGATCCCCCTGGGGAGGGGGTCTATGCCTAGACGCAGGTTCCCCTCCAGCTTCTGCAACAGGAGAGACCGTGACCCAGGGCGGCAGGTCCCGCATGCAGCCCCTCCCCCTGCCAATCACACCGCTTAGTGGGGCCCGGCGTGGCCTCAGGTCTGAGCAGAACCCTCCCCGCTCAGGGACTCGGATGGGGCCACTGACAACCGCACCAGGTTCCTCCTGCTCTTAACTCCCGCGCCCGGCCTGATGGCTCCGGTGAGCAGCAGAACCGTTCTGGAAATAACTGGCCGTTGGGGTCTCTGGCTTTACCCAGTAGCCCTGGGGAGGGGCCCAAAGCTCCCGCAGGACTTTCTGACTGACTTTTTAACGGAGCACCGTGGTGACAGCTGGGGGCAGCAAGAGGGCTGGCTGTGCCATCCCACGCCCCGTCATTACCGTTCTTCTTGGGGCCCCTCCACACCACAGCCTCATCCGGGCTCTCCAGCAGGAAGCCCACGGACATGAGAGAGATGCTCTGCTCCTGGTCCACAAAGACGGGGACCCAGCCGCTGTCACACTGGTGCACGGCCCTGCCCTGCGCCCGAAGCATGCGGGGGATGCTGGGGCCACACAGGTCCACGTCGAGGATGCCCACCTGCAAAGAGGCAGGACGTCCGCGAGGGGCAGGAGCAGCGGGGCAGTCGGTGCGGGTGCCGGCGTGGGGTGCTCACCTTCTTGCCCGCGTGGCGCAGGGCCAGGGCCAGCTCCGTGGAGATGGTGCTTTTCCCGACACCCCCCTTTCCCGAGAGGACGAGGAGGATGTGCCGGACACCTGCCAGGTTTCCAGGCTCTGGTCAGGAGAAAGGGGAGGAGGGCAGAGAATCCCCCTCGAACCAGATGCTCTGGGAGGCTCACTCCGAAGGCTCACCAGCCCCCCGCGCCCCCAATTCCGAGACCTGCTCCTTTGGCGTAATGGAAGCAAACACCCCCAGCCGGAAGGTCTTCCCGCGGGCCGGCCCCAGACCTGACCCGTGGCCTCCTGGCAGACGGCTGTCCCAAATGGCCCCTCTCTGCTGTGAGCACGTGTGTCGCTGCCCCCCTGCAGCTCACACTCCCGGGCGGGTCACAGGAACCAGGAGACTGCAGGGTCCCAGCTGATCCCAGTGGGAAACGGCCGTCATGACAGGCTGAGGTCCGCTGTGCTGGGGACGGCCCCTGCCCCCACTCATAGAATTCAGGTGTGATGCCCCCCAGGTGCCCAACACTCTCCTGGGGTCCCTGGTCTCCAGTTCTCAGGAGGAACGCTTAGAGCTCTAGAGACCTAGAGCTGCGGTCACGCGCCGGCACGGAGCCACCTCTCTGGCTCAGACCATGCCCTGAGCCCCGGACACACCTGCATCCCTGGCCACGCCCCGCGCGGCCCCAGGCCCAACAGCCGAGGCTCTCTGTGGGCCGCGGACCACTCCGCCCCGGCTCTTCCTTCCTGGGAGCTTAACATGTCCCTGAAGAGACACCAGGCCCACCCCTGCCACCCGCGGGGTTGCCATCTGCACCCACACAGCCGTCAGTCCCCCCGCAACACCCTAAGTTCTTGCCTCTTACCTCTGACCCCGCCACGGGCACCCCTGCCCGACCTCCCCACCGCCCTGCCCGCGAGCCCGGGTCCCTGGGGGCTCCACAAAGGCTGCCCTGGTCCCGACCCCCCTCTAGACCCTGCCTCTAGCGACGGGCGGGGACGGGGTGCGCGGGGCACCGGGCCGGCTCGCGGCAGGGCCCGGTCGCCGACGCCGGCAGCACCCCTGGGGCAGCCCGCCGCACCCGCCCGCACCCGCCCGCGCCGTGCTGGACCGCCGCTTCCTCACAGAACCGACATACGCGGCGCGCAGGCTCCAGCCGCGGCCCTGCGGCCACCAGCCCCCGACCCCAGGCCGGCGCCGCCCGCTCCCGCCCGTTCGGAGCACTCACCCGCCGCCGCCACCGCCGCCTCCGCCACCGCCGCCTCCGCCGCCGCCACCGCCGCCGCCGCCATCCCTCCCGCCGCGCCGCACGGCCTCCGTCCACCGGCCCAAACCCCGCCCCCCGCGCAGCGCCCTCCCCTGGCCGTCCCGACTGGCCCACTAGCGCTCCACTCAGCCAGTCACAGCCCAAGCAAGGAGACGCAGCTTCCGGTGCCCGCCATGAACCGGAAGTGGACTCACTTCCGTGTCTGTCCCTGCCTCTCCCCGCGCGCGTCCAATGGGCACACGGGCCCTGTTACCGACGGCCTGAGAGGTGACCAATGGGGAGGTGGAGCCAGGACCGACAGTTCGAGCAACCTTTCGGCAGGAGGCATGTGCCGCGCGGCCCGCCCCCTGCCCGCAGCCCCGAACGGCCAGCGCCCAGCAGCGCCCAGCAGCGCCCGCCAGCGGCCGCGGGGCCAATGCGGCGCGGGGGGCGGGCTGCGGGGCGGGGATTGTTTACGTCTCGCTCGGGAGCGGAAAGTAGGTCACGGCCGCCGGGCGGAGCGCGGCGGCAACCGAGCAGTGGCAGGTGAGCGGCGGCGGGCGGCGGCCGCTGCCCCCAGAGTCCCCCGGCTCCGCAGCGCACGGCTGCCGCGCTCGCTGGCCTGGCGGGAGCGCTGGCGGCGCGGGGCCCCGGCGCGCCTTTGTTCCTGCGGGCGGCGGCGCCGGGGGCGCCCAGGGCTCGGCGGGCGGCCTCGCCGCAACCCCCGCGACAGCGCGCAGCCGGAGACCCGCGCGGGCCGGGCCGGGGCGCGCCGCCTGCCGTGCGCTGCTGCCGGGTGGTCACCTGCGCCTGGCGGCCGGGGGCGGCGCCTCGGGGGGCGCTCTGGGTCGGGGGGCAGCCCCGGAAGGCGGCGTGGTCCCGGGAGAATGCGGGACGGGAAAGGCATTCCGGGCGAAGGGCGGGAGTGGGCTCGCACCCGGGCCCAGGCCCTTGCGGCTTGGAGAAGCGCGGAGGGACGGGATGTTGCATGTTGTCTCCGTAAGGCAAGGCCGAGCCGTTTCCAGATGGATTGAGACTCGCTTCCGTTGTTAAGCCCTGTGCTTCCAGAAAGTCGGCTTGGCTGCAATGAGTGAAGTGGGAGGAGCCAGAGGAAAGGTGGCCCCGGGGATGGAGAGGGCTCAGGACACGGTTTGGAGGTGGTGCTGGGCGTGTGAGGGTGTTCAGGGTGACTGCCATGGCTCTGGCATGAGGAACTGGGAGGCTGGAGATGCCATCTGTCAAACTGGACAACAGAGGAGGAGCCAGACGAGGTTGGAGACGCCCGAGGGAAGGCTGGGTTCCGCAGGCTGAGCTCAGTCGGGCTGAGATACGAGTCTGAGAGTCATGGGCGTCTGCATGGTGTTCCTCACTCTCTGCCTGGCGCTCATCAAGGTGCTTGCATGCTGGAGGGAGGGCTGAGGGCGGGAGGAGTCCCAGAGCTCTCATTCCGCATCCGCAGGGCTCAGGCAAGCTCGCACCTTTGGCCAGGCCGGCACAGCTGGCTGAGGATGGAGCACAGAGCACGGGAGCACTGCCTCGTGTCTTCTCTGCTCAGAGCCTGGGTGTTCCTCCAGATACTGTCCACCATGGCCAGGCGCCCTCGGAGCAGCAGAGCTTGGCACTTTGTCCTGAGCGCAGCCCACCGAGACGCGGATGCCCGGGCTGTGGCTCTGGCGGGGACCACTAACTGGGGCTACGACTCAGATGGGCAGGTAGGTCCTGGTGGGGGATGTGGGCGTGGCTGGACTAAGGGGCAGAGGCGCCCAGGGCGGGCGATGTCTGAGCCAGGACTGAATGAGAAAGATGCCCTTGAGGGCAGAGGATGGGCCGGGGAGGCCCTCCTTTTCCCTGATCAAGGACCCATGTGGCCCTGGGGTGACAGGACCCCAGACAGATACCACCTTCTTCTCTAGATTTTTCTCTCTGGGGCACAGAAGTTGTTTTCTTTGGTCAGTTCAACAAAAACTCCGTTCCACTTATCCAACCAGCATCCAAAAGCCGCTTGATGTGTATGCTCCCAGACACCGTCTCTGCCCGTACGAATACATGCCTGGTGTTTGTGTATGTACGTAGAAAGAGGACTTGGAATTTTTAGAGAACAAAACGCCCATGCCTTCCCACACGCATCGGCTCCAGAGCTCACGGAGGCCAGGGGGCCCGCAGAGCAGCAGCTGGGACGCCCCTGTCGTGGCGGCCACGCTGCACAGCCGTCGTGCCTGTTGCTGGAGGTGGGCACTGCAGATGGCTCGTCCGTGCGCTCAGACCAGGGCAGGGGTTCAGTTCTGCTCTGAGTCACCTTGGCTGCTTCTGGCAGGGGTGAACCTTGGGTGACTGGGCTCTGCCGTGTCCTAGCACCCCGTGTTACTGCCCTAGCCCTGGCGGGTGTCCTGGGAGGAAGCAGTTGTCTTCTTGATAGCGTGAGGGTGGCTGAGCCCCATGGGACCGCCACCCCCAGGGGAGAACTGGAGGCAGAGTCCAGGGCCCCTTCCGAGGGCCTCCCCAAACTCCCTGCCCAGGCCAGCGAGAGGCCTCGGCCTGCATTCCTGTCGCATCGCCAGCTCCCCCAACCACGTGATCTGAGCAATCCATTCTCCCGCCAGTCTCTGCCCGGCCAGCTCATCGCTGGAAGATGCAGGTGGTGTTGGGGGCCTAGGGCACAGCATGTGACGCATGCCTGTAGCTTGTCTGTCACCTAATGGGCAGGGAGTGCTGGGTTGTGTGGGTGGGTGTGTCACCCCAGCATGTCTGACTCCAGCTCCGATGCTGGTCCTCTGGTTGGTGGTGGGCAGCTACCCCCTCCCCGCTGGGCTGCTGTGCAGGGGGCTGGTCGGGTGGACCCCGGGATTCAGGTCTGTGACCCTGGCACTTCACAAAATGGGAAGGGGATGGACGGCCTGACAAGCAGTGGGCCTGCCTTCGCTTTGAGGGAACAGCATTCTCCATAAGGGGCAGGGGGTGCTTCAGGCATTCTTCCTGTCTCTTGGTGGCATCTGTCCCTGACCATGGCTTCTGGCCTCCTGAGCTCCGTCTCCGCCACGTGGCCTCTCCGTAGCCTTGGGTGCCGAGAAACAAAGGGCAAGTTTTTCAGCTTCTAACGGGAGAAAGCAGAGCTGGGGAGCACAGCACAGGAGGGAGGGGCTGGAAAGGCCTCTTGGAAGTGCAGTCTAGGGGCAACAAGGCTGCCCCCGCTGTAGGAGACAATGGACACAACTGGGGGGTGGGCCTTACCCTCAGAGCAGCAGAATGCTGAGGTGGACCAGGCCTTGCCCTGGGTCTGTGCAGGGGCAGAGGGCATTTCGGGGGAGGAGCTCATGGAGGCCAGGAGAGCAGGGCGCAGAGGGTGGAGCCTGGCCAGGACCCCAGCCTGCGTTCTGGGCCCGGCCAGTGAGACCCCAGCCCTTTGCAGGTGGGTCCAGAGGGCCCCGTCCTCAGAAGAGGAACAGCTCCGAGCACAGAAGGCAACCGTAGTGTTAGCATACCTGACTGATCTGGAAGGATTTGGCTCTGGGCCATCATTGGGCTCCCAAGACGTGGAGCACACGTCACGAGGATGGGGCCCCTCGGGCAGAGGACAGGTCCCCATGGAAGGTCTTGCTGCGGCAGCACTGCACGTGTGAGCACGGGACTGCGGTGCCCTGGGCTCGGGGTTAGGAGCCACCCATTCTGTGGATGACCAGAGGGCCACGGCCCAGAACAGATTCAGGGGCTCTGTGGCGGGAAGGGGCCCATGCGCTCCCTGTGCAGGAAGCCAGGCTGCCTTCGTCAGGTCGAGAGCAGACTGTCCTGGGATCCCCTGCTTCAGGACGCCTGGAGGAGGAGCTGAAGCCAGCAGCCCCACCTGACTGGTTGTGACCCCTGTTGGAGACCTTGAACCCATTCCCAGGAAACTGGGGGAGGTGTCCAGGGCCACTGGGGATGGCACTGGACACGGGTGAAGAGACCCAGGGAAGGCCTTTGGGGCCAGATCTGCAGGTGCTTCCTCGGGGCATCAGTGCCGTCGACCTGCACGTGGTGATGGAGGGCAGGGGGCACGCCAGATGGGAGCAGCTGGTCCTTCTCTCGCAGCACAGTGACTCCGATTCCGACCCCGAGTCCCCCACCCTGCCACCGCCCATCCCCAGCGCTGTGCCTGTGACCGGGGAGTCCTTCTGTGACTGTGATGGCCAGAGCGAGGCCTCCTTCTGCAGCAGCCTGCACACGGCGCATCGCGCCAAGGACAAGGACTGCCGCTGCGGGGAGGAGGACGAGCGTGAGAACCGGGGGAGGACCCAGGGCGCGGGGCATGGGGAGCCAGCCTGCTTATTCTCTAGCCCTGGCCTCCTCTGCTCCTGCAGATTTTGACTGGGTGTGGGACGACCTGAATAAGTCCTCGGCCACCCTGCTGAGCTGTGACAACCGAAAGGTCAACTTCCACATGGAGTACAGCTGTGGCACGGCGGCCATCAGGGGCACCAAGGAGCTGGGGGAGGGCCAGCACTTCTGGGAGATCAAGATGACCTCACCGGTCTATGGCACCGACATGGTCAGTGGCCAGCAGGTTGGTGGGGGTGGGGCAGGCAGGTGTGACCCCAGGCGCCCAGGCCCAGACGCCCTCTGCCCGCCCCACTCTTCCCAGATGGTGGGCATCGGCACATCAGACGTGGACTTGGACAAGTACCACCACACGTTCTGCAGCCTGCTCGGCCGAGATGAAGACAGCTGGGGTCTCTCCTACACGGGTATGCGGGACCCTGAGGGCAGGCAGAGGACGGGGGGAGGGGGGTTGTGACCCCGAGGTAGCAGGGCTCACCCCATCGCCCTGCCCCCCAGGGCTCCTCCATCACAAGGGCGATAAGATGAGCTTCTCATCGAGGTTTGGCCAGGGCTCCATCATCGGCGTGCACCTGGACACCTGGCACGGGACACTCACCTTCTTCAAGAACAGGAAGTGCATAGGTGAGGGCAGACACGACCTTGACCAGTGCCTGCAGGGTGTGGAACTGCAGCCCCCACCCAGGCGTCCCAGCAGCTGGTCCCTGCAGGAACCTGAGCTCCTGGGTTTCGTGGAGGGCGGGGCCACACCAGGGGCGGTGGGAGTGTGCACCCGGAAGGGTCGGCCGGGGACTCAGGTGGTGACCCCCCCCCCAGGTGTGGCGGCCACCAAGCTGCAGAACAAGAAGTTCTACCCGATGGTGTGCTCCACGGCGGCCAAGAGCAGCATGAAGGTGATCCGCTCGTGCGCCAGCATGACCTCCCTGCAGTACCTGTGCTGCCACCGCCTGCGCCAGCTGCGGCCCGACTCCGGGGACACGCTCGAGGGGCTGCCCCTGCCGCCCGGCCTCAAGCAGGTGCTGCGTCGCAAGCTTGGCTGGGTCCTGAGCATGAGCTGCGGCCGCCGCAAGACCCCTGCACCATCCCCCGTGGCCACCGGTGCGAGCGTCCCCGAGCCCCGGCCCCACCCACGGAAACGCTGCCGACGGACCTGACTGCTTTCCGGGGGACGCCGCCTTCCGGGGCTGGTGGCCGCCTGCTCCATGCCCCTTCAGACTGGGCTCCAGAGGGCAGACTCACGCCCACGGCGGTCTTGGCCAGTACGGGCCCCTGTGGTCCCAGGAGCATTGGCCTTTGGTGTCGTGCGGATGCGGCCAGCCCGGCTCTCCCGGACTGACGGGGCCAGAGGACACGGGCAGAGGCAGCCCCCGTGCTCGCTGCCAGCCCGCTTGCGCCCTTCAGCTGCTTGTGCATGTCAGCTGCCGTCCCTCCTGTCCCAGGCCGAAATGACCGTAATAAACTTAGACTCTACGTGACGCCTCTGTGGTGGCCAGAGGAAGGGAGTAAGGGCCAAGGCCCGGGGCTCCCGGCTGCCCAGGGCTCTCTCCGTGTCGCGCCCAGCTGCATCACGGCGCCTGCCAGGAGAGCCAGCCCGGTTCTCTGTCCTCCCTCGGGACTCTGTTTACTGCTTCTCAGAACGTGCCGCCCCCAAGTCTCTCCGTGACCGGTGTTTGTTCCCCTTTCCTGACCCCAACTGTGGCCAGCATGTCCGGGACCCAGGGAAGGGAAAGTTCACCCCTCCTCTCCTGCCCGTCCGTTACCCTAGAATGTTTTGGCCGCCTCTGCCCTCCCACCTACCCCAAGGGCAATGCCCTGTTCCCTCCCCCTGCTAGTTGGGGTGGGGTGGACCACGTTCTGTCCCGCTGCTGAGACAGGGCTCCTTCCTGTCCCACAGACATAGTCAGGAGCTCAGGTCCAGTAGGAGCTCGGGGTTGGTGGCAGTCAGGAAGAGGCAGATGCGGCGGGAAAGGTCAGGCCCCACCCTGCGCGGCTGGCCGGCACCGCCAGTCTTCACGGGGAGGTTCGCCAAGAGGGCCAGGCGCTCCTGCTCCGTGCTGCAGCTCGAGAACGCCTGTGGCGGGCACAGCGGTAAGCAGGGCAGCTCTTGCGGCCCTCGCTCCACAGCGCGGGGCAGGGGCTGGGGGACCCACCTGCTGCAGAAGGCGGGGGGAGGGGAAGGCGGTGACAATGGCATCGGCCACAGCAGGGCTGACCCGGCGAAACTGCCTGATCTGTCGCCACCAGACCCCCCGCAGCCCTGTGCCATCTCTCGCCACACGCTCGCTGGCTGCCCGGCGCCCAGCCACACAGAAGGAAAAGGCACAGGAATCCCGGTACCGCCTGTAGACGGAGAAGGATGCAAAGAAGGTTCTAGAGCCCTCACGTCTTCGGAGTACCCGGTCTTCCCAGCTCACAAAGCTCTCCGCTCTGCTCCCAAAGACACCAGGGAGATTCCACCCACCCGGGTGTTCTGTCCCCTCCCCCAGCCACAGTCACAAGTCCGGGTTGGGGGCACGCACTTGAGCGGGCGCTGAGCAAGGGCCCTGGTGAAGGCGCATATGTGCGGAGTCAGCTCCTGCCAGGAGGCCCCCAGCAGCACATCCAGTTGTGCCCAGAGCTGCAGGAGGACCAGGCCCTGAGAATGTGAGCCCACCATGTGGGTCAGACAAGGTCACCCCCAGGGGACACCCAGCTGAGACCAACCCCACATGCTCTGGGACCAAAATGGGCTGCTGGGTCTTGGAGAGCAGCCCAGGCACCAGGACCAAGGGCAGGACCAAGGGCAAGCATCCCACCCCATCCCACCTCACCTGACAGGCCCTCACCTCTTCCACCTTGGGCCAGCTGAGTGCCACTGGGGCACGGGCCACTGCTGGGCTCTCTGGCTGCCGCACATCCTGGTTGCTGGGCTGTTGAGACCTGAGCAAAGGTGACCATCCCTCTGGGTCCCCACACCCCATCACTCCCCCGGGGCCCCCCAAGAAAGGGAATTAGCCGTGTCATAGTAAACCCCTGGGCTCCCACTACCTCTCCCCTGAACTCCCGCATTCCAGCCAGGCCTATTAAGGGCAAGAGAGTGACTGGTACCACAGGTAAGCATCAAGCCCGATGACAGCCAGGTGGGGGCCGGTGGAGCTCTCAGGACAGACCCAGGGCACGGAGCAAGATGGGCCACAAGTCTGCAAGCCAAGGTTTAACACATGTGTTTCTGCAGCTGGCAGCACGGCAACTGCGTTCGCACACAAAGAAGTCGGCCTGAGAGTGACTCAGTGGTCCGGGGGAGAGAAGGACACAGGCTTCCTTCCACAGAGTGCAGCTGTGTGCCTCCCACAAGGCCAAGGGACCTGGGAAAGCCCCAGTGCCTTCCAGGCACCTGCAAGAGGGGACCTGAGCCCCCACCCTCCACTTCTGCCTCTGCACCCCAGCGCCTAACCCCCTAGCATTCTGTGGGTGTGTGAGAAACCCTGAACCACACACACCCAGACCCGCACACAGTCTAAGCTAACGCCCTGCCTTATCACTCAGCTTACCGAGAACCTCCCCTAACCCGGGTTTTACTCTCCAGCAGCGGCCCCAGTCTGCTCCAGGCCCAGAACCCACCTGGCTTCCCTAGCTCACCCACATCTCCGCCCCAGGCCGCTGCACACATCCTGTCTGGTCCCTCTCCCCTAGAGTAGGGAACAGCAGCTAGCAGAGCAGCTCCCCCAAGCTGGGGAGCCCAGCACACCCCCCCTCCCCCCGTCTGTGGGAAGGCCTACTGCGCCCCGCCCCCGCGCACCTGGGTCAGCTGTAGGAGGCCCTGTAGAAACTCCTCCGGCTCCAGGAGCAGGAGAACCTGTTCCTCGGCAGCCCACACCTCTGAAGGCACCTGTGGGGACATGGAGAGACAGTGCTACCCGCCCCCCACCTCACAGGTCCCAGGGCCCTACCTGGGCCCAGTGGCTCAGAGGCTTGTCGCCATAGCCAAGCCCAGGCCCTGGCGAGACTGCTCTACAGACAACCCTCGCCTCATCCCCCGCCAAGTCCAAGACCAGTTCAGGTCCGCCGACACCAGCCCTGAAAGTCCCCGGCACCCCCTGGGTGCTCCAGCTTCCAGCTGACCGCTCTCAAGCCCCGCAGGCGTGCGTGAAGTTGCGGGAAACAAGCACTCAGGCCAGGGGTGCACTCCGCAGCCCCGGGACACTCACAGTGTGGGGACAAGGGTCCAGCTTCGTTCTGGTCCACCTGAGGCTCCGGGCCCGGCGCTGGGGTTCGATGTGGTACTCACAGCCCAGAGCGCCCAGGGCCTCCAGCAGGACGTCGGCACCAGCATCTTCCAGAAGGGCTGTGATGGGCCGCAGGGACACGGCTGTCACCACCGCCCGGCTGCGGGGAGCGGACCCGGCCTGCGCCCGGCCGCCTCCCCGGCTGGGAAACCGACCCCATTCCGGCGCGGAGGGCGGCCTCGGGGGTGCCGCCGGCGCCCCCCGGTTCCCCCCCCACCGCACCTGGGTCCAAGCGCACCGCCACGCGCCGCAGGGCCCGCTCCGGCCGCAGAGCCTCGGCCACCGCCCTGCGCTCCTCCGCCGCCGCCCTTCGCTCCTCCACCGGCCCGCGGGCCTTCGCGCCGGCGGGGCCCTCGTCGTCCGAGTCCGAGACCTCCCACGTCGGAGGCCGCCGCCGGCCCCCGCCCCGGGCCCCCGCCCGGCGCCAGCATCCCGCCCGCCCGGAACCCTCCCGCGCCATCGCTGGCCCGGCCTCCACTCGGCTTCCGGCCGCCACCCGGACGCTTTTCCGAGGGACACCGTCCGCTTCCGGCGGAGGCGAGGCTTCCGGTCGGGGCGCGGGAGAGCGGGGCGCGGGCGAGCTGGGCGCGGACCATGGCGCGCAAGAAGGTGCGGCCGCGGCTCATCGCCGAGCTGGCCCGTCGCGTGCGGGCCCTGCGGGAGCAGCGGAACCGACCGCGCGACTCGCAGCGCTACGCCCTGGACTACGAGACGCTGACGCGGCCGTACTCGGGCCGCCGGCTGCCCGTGCGCGCCTGGGCCGACGTGCGCCGGGAGAGCAGCCTGATGCAGCTGCTCAGCCGCCTGCCGCTCTTCGGCCTGGGCCGCCTGGTCACGCGCAAGTCCTGGCTGTGGCAGCACGACGAGCCGTGCTACTGGCGCCTGACGCGCGTGCGGCCCGACTACACGGCGCAGGTGCGTGTGCGCGGGTGCCTCGGCGCCCCGGCCGCGGGGAGGGGGCGAGTGCGCGCTCCGAGCCGACGCCCTGTGCGCTTGCTTTGCAGAACCTGGAGCACGGGAAAGCCTGGGGCGTGCTGACCTTCAAAGGTGAGGCGCTGGGGGCGGCCGTGACCCTGACCCCAGCCTGCCCCGCGGGCGCACGTGCGCTCAGCCCCGGCCTTCTTCCCCAGGGCGGACGGAGAGCGAGGCCCGGGAGATCGGGCAGGTCATGTACCACGACTGGCGGCTAGTGCCCAAGCACGAGGAGGCGGCCTTCACCGCGTTCACGCCGGCGCCGCCCGAGGACGCTTCGCGCTGCGTGCCCTACCCGCCACTCCTGCGGGCCATGATCCTAGCGGAGCGACAAAAAAGAGGGGACGCCTGCACCGAGGAGCCCATGCTGAATCTGGAGCGGACCCGAGTGCATCCCTGGGACTACCCTGCGAAACAGGAGGCGAAGAAAAAGGCCAAGGCCACGCCAGTCTGAATGCTATGGGGAGGGCGCGGGCCCCGCTTTGTGAAGGAAGACGCCTTTGCGTTGCAGCTGGGTCAGCCCCCTGGGAGCGTGGAGCCAGACCCTGCCCCCGCGCCTTTGCTCTGGGCGAGCTGGCCGCGGGGGGTGGCGGGGCTGGCGGCGCGGAGCTCCAAGCGCTGGCGCGGGTCACCTCCCCGCTCTGTGCGGCCGCTGCCGGACTCGGCCGGGAACCGTGTGCGCGCTCGAATAAAGGCAGAACCGGCGCCCTGGGTTGTGGTTTTCTTTGCGTTTGGGGTTGGGCAGCCACAGCAGGTTTTGGGCAGGTCCGGGAGGGAGCGCCGACCCTGTGGGGTGCCCGAGGGTTGGGGCTCCCCAAGCGCCCGCCGCCCGGCCCCTTTAAACGCAGGCCCCGCCCGCCGCCGCCGCCGCCGCCATCATGCTGTGCCTGCTGCTGACGGTGCTCGCCCACCTCTTCCCGGCAGGTGAACGGCGGCGGGCCCGGGTGGGTGGGGGTGCGGGCGGGGGAGCGGCCGGGCCTGACGCGCCCCGACCCCGCGGGCCCCCGCAGCGGGCGCCGGCGTGTACGAGCGCACCTTCCTGGCGGTGAAGCCCGACGGCGTGCAGCGGCGGCTCGTGGGCGAGATCGTGCGGCGCTTCGAGCGCAAGGGCTTCAAGCTGGTGGCGCTGAAGCTGGTGCAGGTGAGGGCGCGCGGGGGGCGGCGGCGGGGAGCGGGCGGGCGGGCGGAGACCCCGGCGCGCACTGCCCGTCCCCACCCCGGCCCGCCGCAGGCCTCGGACGAGCTGCTGCGCGAGCACTACGCCGAGCTGCGCGAGCGGCCCTTCTTCGGCCGGCTGGTGGACTACATGGGCTCGGGGCCCGTGGTGGCCATGGTGAGTGCCCGGCGCGCGGGCGGGCGGGCGGGCGCGAACGAAGGCCAGTGCACTGAGACCCGCCGGCTGGCGCGCAGGTGTGGCAGGGGCTGGACGTGGTGCGCGCCTCGCGGGCGCTCATCGGGGCCACCGACCCGGCTGACGCCGCGCCAGGCACCATCCGCGGGGACTTCTGCGTCGAGGTCGGCAAGTAAGGCAGCCCGAGCGCGCGCCCAGCCCCCGCCACGCCCCGGCGGCCGCAGGCGCTCACGCGGCTCTCCCGCAGGAACGTGGTCCACGGCAGCGACTCGGTGGAGAGCGCCCGCAGGGAGATCGCGCTCTGGTTCCGCGGCGACGAGCTGCTGTGCTGGGAGGACAGTGCCGCGCACTGGCTGTACGAGTAGCTGCGCGCGCGACCCCGCGGTCCCCTATTAGCGGCCCGCCCTGGCTCCCCGCGTGGGCCAGCGTTTCTTGGGACAATAAAGTGAAGCAAGTCCTTAACGCTCCCACTGGTCTGTGCCCAGGGACACAGGGCTACGACGTGAAGACATTTATTACACACAGAGCAGATGCGTGGGTTCGCTTGCAGGGCCGAAGCCTGAGGAGAATCACCACCCAGCCCCTTCCCCAGCTGCGCCCACCCGGCTCGCCCTCGAGTCTCTTCGCGGCCCCGTGGGAACAGACAAGGGACCGGACGTACATCACAGTGGAGAGTGGCAGGGTGGTGGGGAGAAGCCTGCAGCTGCCCGTGGCTGTGGCGGTGGCCGGCTGGGATGCGGCGTGGCTGCCCGAGATCTGTGCTTCTCTGGTGGGAGGTGGGTGGGCAGCAGGGCCTCCGGAGCAGGAGACCTGGACCTGGGCGGGTCGGGGAGGTGGCAGTCCAGGGCGGCCCCCCTCAAAGCCAGCTGGAGGCAGCTTCTGCCCTGAGCCCTCGCGGGCTGTCTTCAGTTGCCCTCAAGGGAGCAGGCCACTCTGCCAGCCCTAGGCACTTCTTAGTGTGTCTTGGGAGCTGGGCTCCTTGGAGACTGGGAGGCAGGCCCCAGACCACGTGTCCCCCTGTCCCCCCGAGGCTGAGCCTGGGTCCTAGGACTGACCCCAGGAGAGGCCAGGGGCCTCCCCTTCTTCCTGAGGCCTGGGCCTGCCTTGGCAGCCTGAGAAATTCCACCCGAGGGGATTGTGGGAGGGGAGGACTCCAGAGCCTGCTCCCACCGGGTGGGTCTTCTGTGCAGGGAGAGCTGGCCACACGGGGTGAGCAGAAGAGGGCATCTGTCCCGGTCTTCTCAAGCAGCTGCCTTAGGCAGCCTGGCTACGTGCTTCCATGCCAATTCCCGGGGCAGGCATCAGGGTGTGGGTACAGGGTGTCCGGGGAAGGCTAGTGGCTGGGCCGGCTCCCGTAGGATCAGGCCCACCCCATCAGGCAGCAGCGGGCAAAGGCAAGTGGGCTCTGGCTGGGAAGACCTGGCGGGCTGAAGTCCCTGCTTCCTGCCCTGGGGGGTCCTGGGGTGAGGGAAGTGGGGGGCCCGGGGTGGAGCTGGGAGCCACCTGCAGGGCTTTCTCCTGGCCCAACCTACCCCAGGACCCTGCCTTGCTCTGGCCCTGAAGTGCCCCCAGGCTGTGAGAAGTTGGGACCAGAGGCGAGCCAGAGGCTGCTGGGTCAGGTGTCCCCAGAGGTTCTTGCCGTCCTGGTGAGGGTGCAACCCCGCTCCCCCGCCTCCCTCCCAGCCAGACCCGTGCTGCCGCCCTTGGGGAGGCCCGGCCCTAAGGTGAAAGCTGCAGGTTGAGAGGTTCTAAGAGGGGCGGGCGCCGGGCTGCCTGCGGGGCGGGCAGCGGGCGGGCGGGGTGGGGGGGGGGGCTGTATGTACACGTGGGCGGCGGGCAGGCGGCGGGGCAGGCCGGAGCCTCACTCGGGGCTGTAGGACACCTGCCACACGATGATGTGGCTGCGTTCCGCCTTGGACAGAAGGGGCTTCACCTGGCTCATGTCCCCAGTGTTCTCCTCGGTGTCATCATCCTCTCCGTCCCCTGGACAGACAGCAGCTGCTGTGATGGGACGGCCCGGCTGGGGGGTCCCGGGACCCCGGGCAGCGCCTACTCACCGATGCGGAAGTCGATGTAGCCCTCCCCGCCGCTCAGCACCAGCACGTTCTTCAGCTTCTGGCCCTCGGCGTCCGAGGCGGGGGCGGCGGGGCCGGGGCTCTCGGACGGGCTGTCGAGCACGCTGCCGTTGAGAGTGGCCAGCACGTTCCCTGTCATTGGGGCACAGGCAGCTCAGCCGGGCAGCCGGCGCCCCCCCCCCCCACAGGCTCCAGGAGGGGGGCCATGCCGCGGCCTGGCAGCAAGGGGGGGCCCAGCCCCTCACCTGGAACTGACACAAAGAACTTGACGGCATCACGGTGGCCGTGAAAGCAGAGCTGGGCCTGGGCCATGGAGCAGTAGGGGATGAAGCTGCTGGCTGACTTGTCGCAGCTGTCGTCCCCGTACACGTGGATGACGCCCCCAGGGCGGGCTCCTTCCCCAGCTGTGGGGGATGTTTTGTTGGCTGGAGAGAGAGAAGGGCGGCAGGCCCGAGCCTGAGAGGAGGCCGCTGATCTCCAGCGGGCAGAGGCAGCAGCGGGAGAGCACCCGCCGCAGGGGCGAGGCCAGCCTCAGCCCACGGGGCATCTCAGCTGGGGGCTTCCGTGCTCGAGGGCAGGAGGCAGATGCTCTGGACTCACCTCGGAGCCCCAGGAGCTGGCCTCGGTGCAGAACCACGGCTGGGGAGGCGAGGGGCGCAGCATGGAAGGGAGAGGAGAGAAGTCATGGGAGGGGCGGGCCGGGGCGAGCGGCACCCCCATCTGGAGCAAGGCCTGACTGAGCGTGCCCTCCACCCCCTGCCCCCAAGTCTTGTCCCATTGCAGTCACCACCACCTGTGCGGGCGTCGAGGGGGGTCACTCACTCTCTGTCAGCGGGATGGAGATGACCACGCCGTTGCCGGTGCCCACCCAGAGGCGGTTGCCTGCGATGAGCAGGGCCGTGATGCGCACAAAGGAGAAGCCCAGCTTGCCGGTGCCTGGGGAGAAGAGGGCGGGTGGTCGGCGTGGCCGCCACCAGGGGCCCTCCCAGCCCTGACGCCCGAGCCCGGCGCAGCCCCTCACCCAGCATCTTGCTGACGTAGGGCTCGATGTCCACGTCCTGCAGGTGCTGGTGGGTGTGGGCATGGTAGAGCCGCAGCGTGGAGTCCAAGCGGATGGACACCCACACCCCGTCCCCAATCCATGCCAGCTGCCGCACCTGGCTCTCCCGCCGCGGGTGTGCATCGAACGACTTCTGTGGGGTCACGGCAGCTCATATCAATGAGGGGGTGCCAGGGGGGGTCTGAACGCACCTAGCTGCGGGTCACGATGCAGCCTTCGCTCTAGAACCTGTTCTGCTCCTCAGGGTCCGGGCTCCAGGGCAGAGCCGTAGCCAGCACCCTGTCCCCTCGGCCCACAGGCTGGCGGCCTGGGGGAGGCGAGCGGGGCCCCGTGGGCGCTGACAGGACTCGCCACAGAGCGAAGCAGCAGGTGGAGCCCAGACAGACTGGCACTCACAGCCCGGCCACCCCTGCTGGCCCGTGACGGTGCTGTCTCCCTGAGCAGACTTCCCTGGACCCCACAAAGCCCCCAGGGCCCATTAGCAGGCACACCGGGAGCGCTGTACCCCCCAGGAGCCACTTCCCCTCCCGCGAGGCCCTCTTGCTGCCAGCACTCGCCTCGATCTGCATGGTCTTGGGCTGGATGACGTGCACCTTGTTCTTGTAGCCACACCACACGCGGTCACACACGACGGCCATACAGCGAATGGAGTGGTGGGGGTGGCCCAGGTCCATCAGGTGATAGTTGCTCAGGTCCCACTGGCCATCTGCAGAGAGCCCCAGACGCCTGCTCGGGCCTGGCCACGACCCCCCCTGCCCGTGGTCGGGGTGGCCGCTCGCCCGCCCAGCGCCCCCGGGCCTCACCTTCGCCTCGGTGGAAGATGGCCAGAGTCCCATCGGCCAGGGCCACAAGCACGCGCCCTTTCACGTGCCTGGAAAGGGACGGCAGTGAGCAAGCGGGCCTAGGCCGGGCGCCGCGGGCCCCTCCCGACGCCCGCCCCTCCCGACGCCCGCCCCCAGCAGGGTCCCGTACACCAAGCTCAGCACCGAGTCCTTCAGCTTAATGGAATGCAGACACTTCTTCCAGTTGGCCACGGCTGAGTGCACGTACAGCCTGTGGGAGGACGCCGTGGTGGGCAGGGCTGCTCGCCCAGGAGACCCTTCCCACGCCCCGCCCTGGCGCCCCACCTACCAGCCGTTCTGGGCCCCCAGCCACATGGTGGGAGCCGCGCTACTGCTGGCCCCCGCAGGGTCTGCGCTGGGCTCCGGCTCGGGCTGCGCCCCACTGGTGTCAGCCTCCGGCCCGTTCTCGCTGCAGGAAGGATGGCTGCTCCAGGGTGGCCCGGGGGAGCCCCTTCCCGCCCACCTCGGCCAGCCTCCCCTCCCCTCCGTCTGCCCCGTCCTCAGAGAGCCCACCTGCCAGGCTGGGCAGTGGGGGCCGGGGAAGGGGCCGGGTCGGTGAAGACATGCTCCGTGAGGGGCCCAGGCCGCACCGCAGCCGCCTCTGCCTCGCTGGGCCCCGAGTCTGGCACTTCCGTGGCTTCCGTGGCCTCTTCCGTGGACTGAGATGGATTGACCTTCCCATTGGCGACGGTAGCCACCTCCCCTGTGGAAGGGAAGGGTGAGTGTGGCCAGGGGGTGGGGAGGAACAAGGGGGTTGGGGAGGGCGGCCGCCCAGGCGCAGGCCCGGCTCACCCTGACCCTTGTCCAGCACTGGGGTGTCCCCTCTGGAGGAGCAGTTGCTGCGGGGCACGTTACAGCGGGTCGCGCAGCCCACCAGGGTGATGCCCGCCAGCACGCCGTCGGCGTTGGAGTCCTCAGGGTTCACATCGCCGTCCAGGAAGATCTCCCCCGGAGGGTAGTCACTGTCACTGGCCGCTGTGGGAGAGTCACGGCCCCGTCAGCCTATGCCAAGTAGCCCCTACTACCAGAACACAACCAGGGCTCCCGTCCCACGTGGGACTGCTGGGGAGGGAGAAGGCGGCCGCCGGCGAACGTGGGTGGCTCAGGGCGCCCCGGGCTCTTAGGCCAGGCTGGCCTCGGTATGTGGGCCCCGACTCACAACCACCGCCTGCGGGCCTGGAGAGCCGGCACAAGGCATGGAGAAGTGAGACTTGGTCTTTGGGAGCAATCGACTCTGATCACGTGTCAGAAGGTGAAGAGTTCTGAGGAGCTTGGGGCCATCTTGGAAGACGGCCCAGGCAGGGCCCCGCCCACCCCAAATGCTGGCATGAGGACTGCTGCTGAGAGGCAAAGCCAAGCCTCCGTCGGCGCCAGCTCTCCCAGCTGCAGCAGGGCGGCGGGAACTGGG